TAGATAACAGAAAAAATTTCTACAATTGCTTGTTGATTTTCAGTTGTAACTAAATAATTTATTCTATATAATTCAAGAAACCATATCGATGAAATAATACAAATTGAATAAACAAATAAAAAAATAAATGAATTTTGATAACGAAATTTTAACAAAGAAGTTATGATTATTTCTAAAGTAATAATACCAATACCAATAATTGGAATAAAGAAAACATGACGAACATATCGAGTTGCATAAAGAAAATATATAGAAAGAGCTAGATGTACTAAGCAAAGTATTCGAGCAGTAAACCATTGAATCAAGGTCGTTTTCTTCAGTTTATTTTTATTCATCCTTGGAGTATGTGTACCGAATCTTCATGAATAAACGCATAATGAATATTAATATATACTTTTTTTCTGTTCGTATAACGTCAAAATAATTATCAACAGTAGAACGAAAAAAAGAAGGTACTATTATGTACAATATGATGCAAAAGAATTGCCGCTTGACAGACGAATTTCCTTGAAGCATATTTCACAACTTATTAGAGTCTTTCACTTGATGACTTTTGACAGATGTCAACCGGAGCTGCCACCTTTTCTGCTTTTTGAAGTTTTTTCTGTCGTTTCTGCTTTTTTTGATACGGCATTATTTATTATTTCATTCAACATTTTTCACCTGAAATACCTTCGTTTCCATATTAATTAAAAAAACCGTATCAAAAACTACGGATATTTTTGTACCATTCCAATTCTTTCTATTTGATACAGATAATTTTTATTTTCTACTGACTACAAACAACTACCAACCTAAATATTTGGCTTTAAATCAATTCTTTACCTCTGGTTTTCTATCGTATTTTATTACTCATGTAATTCATATGCATCAACATATACATTCTGCCGTTTGTTTACTCAATGAACATGAATAATTAATATGATTAGTGAAAGGAAAGGAACAGAAAAAAACAGCTCTAGATGATAATGACAGTCCGACTAGCGAAGAAGGTATTGACAAAACAGTGCTAGTTGCTGAAGTAATAATTATGTCATCAGAAGTTAAACCAGAAAATAGAAATTGAATAGAGTTATCTTCAACAGAGAATGGTTCAAAGTCGTCGAATATTAATGATCTTTAAAAGAATATAAATTTGATCCGTCTCAACTAACATTTACTGTTCGTCATCAACAGTTTTCCGAACATCGCTAAAAAAAATCTAATATTGATAATCCTATGAACAATAAGAAACAAAAAAATTTTAAATGCTATGATTTAATCAAGAATTATTTTGAATTTCTCCATATCATATAATGTAGTGGATGAATATTTATCAGGTAAAAAAGATTTGTCAAAAGTTCTTAAATCAGATAAACAATAGTCCTTAAAAAGAAAACGTGTTCAATGATTCTGTCTATTTGTTAATTAGTTGTGTTTTGTGATGCCATACAATGCGAGTGATTAGTATACTGAAACTAAAATTTAAAACTAACGGGTAGCTCGTAATAAAAGAGGGTCTCAGTATTTTGTTAATATCTTAAGCGTTATCTTATCGTTCACGCTTTATTTTTTTATCGAAAGAATTCACCGGCTGATTTTGCAGAAATTGGTATATTTCGCTGTAAAAGACACTTATCTTTCGTTCAACATCATCATGATTTAAAACAAGCACTTCACGCAATTTTCAAAGTCTTCATTTTTTTCAAAATGTTCAGTTTTTCAATTAATTCTGTTACTTTGGATATAATTTGTTCGCCACTCAAGAGATAAATTGGTTCATTTCAATCAACGTACCAGAGGCAATTTATTTTATTTCTGGATAAAGAATATGGTACGACCAATGATAATATAAGACTAATCTAAGGACTGGACGTTTTCGGAAAAATTTGAAAAAAATAGAGATTTTGAAAGTTGTGTATAGTGCTGTTTTTAAATCGTGGCAACGTCGACAGAGAAAGAAATAAGTATTTTTACAACGAAATATGCAATTTGTGCAGAAGCAAACAATGAATCTTTCGATAAAAAAAATAAACCGCGAGTGATAAGATAATGCTTAAGATATTAACAAAATATTGGGACCCTCTTTTATTACGAGCTACCCGTTAATTTCATATCATAAACATAATTTCTGCTGTGTTCCTGCTTTTCGATGATAAATCTCATGTGAATATATGAACTTCTTCCTTCTTGCAGTTCTAGAGAATTAAGTAAAAGATGATGAAGAAATGAATTCCAAGATAGATTGAATAAAACAATATTCTCGTGATTAATAACAACAGCTATACCGTTTTTCACAATTTAATTGCTTCGGGATTGCACTAAGAGCTTTTTTTGAACTACTTCATAAATGTGCTCTTCAACTTTCAAATATTTGAATATATTAGGTCAAAAAGCGTAGATAACTACAAATAGAACCAGTAGCGAATTTAAGTGGAATAACGAGTCTTTTGACAAACAAATACCATTGAATTGTCGTCAGCGTGAGCATTAGTTTACTGGAAAAACTAGTCAGTTGATTGTTCTGGTACACTTGATTAGATTACAACAAGATGCAATGTATTAAGATGACGTCACTTGGATCTTTGTACGTGTATATCTATCAAGATTTTTTTGGCATTGGGCAATTAATATCATTTCAAAAAACCCATGGGCAATTGCTTTTGAAATAATGGACAATTGCTCAATAGCCGTACCCTTGGCTACGCCACTGTATGTCTGTAAATTACAGACATGCATCTAAACTCTATAGAAGAAAGAGAGTATTTCAAACTTATTCCACTGATGATGAACTATACCAATAATCTGTCTCACCATTAATATGGAAGGAGGTCTACCTTTAACAACTAAATGGAAAGTGATCAAATGAGCTGCTTGGTTAAATAAGATATTTAAAAAGAACTGAACAACCCCTCAAACACAAATCCAAACTCATTGGGTTTGGGTTTGTTGATTGACTTCAATATGCAGACTAAGAAGGCTATCCAAATCTCTCTTTTGGTATTCTGTAGTGTCATTCTTCTACTTTAGTATTTTACTGACGAAAACTGTTGTGTCACGCGGTTTAGTAGATAAGGGTATTTTTCTTCATTTAGGCAAAAGTGACTCAAACGGTTTGGATGCATGCCTATCTGTAATATTGCAACAATAACATCTTTTATTTTTGTTTCAATGAAATACATCTTTTTATGACCTCGTACACAATCAAATGCTCAATCTTATTAAGAAAGTCCCATCCTAATCCATGAAAACTAGAGAAGATATCAAGAAAATACGGAAACTCTCATTCTTCATGGAGTCACTGTTAGATCAGCTGGCCCAAAACCATCAGAAATGGATGTTTTCGAAAAATGGTTCCGTAGGAATAAGCCTAGACTAAAAATGTGCATGGTTAGCACCTGTAGTGCAACTACACATCCACATCCACATTGCTATGTTTATTCACGCTTTCCAACATCCACATTCACACCTTCATTGGCTGAACTTTCAAGACTCAGAAACTTGATAGATTCATAGTCACATAACGAACAACTGTGAGTGATCGAACAATATATATAAGGACCTCAAAGTAACTAGATCAGAGACCTGGAGAAGTCTCATTAACTGATCTTAATCAAAGAATTAGAGCTCAGTAAAATATATCAACAGGCAAAAACTCATCCTTTCGGGATAGAAAATTAGGTTTCAAGTCACACAAACTACAAATTCAAACATCCACTTTCTGATTACCTTTCGATGGAGCTTTCTACCCTAACTGTGAGATTTGAATTCCATTTGTAATTCATTTCTTAGCTATATCTGTTTTCAATTTCTCTTTGTCACAACAATATGTCAAGTATATACATAGCAATAATATAGAAAAATCCCATAGATTATGAAGAAGAAAGAAAGATCCGTAAAAAAAACTAAACTTAGAAGATCAAAAGTGGAAGACATGTCTATCGCACATACGTATAAATGAAAGGAAAAATACCATCACATATACGAATCTGACAGGAAAGAAAAAAATCTATGACGCACGACTAGCAACAACAGAAAAAAAGAAACTCAAATGTATTTGTATGATCCTAAACAGGAAAAATCCTTACGTACTAAATCTGAAGAAGATTTAGCTTATAACACGAAGTTCAATTTCTACTGGCGCATTACCCCACTAAAGTATTTGTAGGGCAATATAGCTATGATTCAAACCATCGTCTCAAACTACCCCAGAAGAAGAATAACCTACCTTTTAGTTGTTTTGCGATAAAGAATGTTGTCTGAAGACAGTTTCGAAGGTCCAATATTTTTCCTACAACTATTACTAGCTGTAGGTCTGGGCAAAAAGCCGATCTGGCTCAGAGTTTCTTTCGTTTAATCACTTGAGTACGTCGTGCATATTGGCTAATTCCATAGTAGCTAAAAATGCTTTTGTGTATGTCAATCATGTAGCTAGAGAGGTGTCACATATCCAGGAAATCGGAGATGCTAGAGAAGTGCAGGTAGATGCGAGTAAGGATGTGTGGGTGTGGAAAAACTGACGAGATACACCCACACCCTTCTTTTTTTATTGAAATTTTATTTTGTCTGCAAGAATATTAGAACTAAACTCAAAATGTATTTGTAATATATATTATTATAGACAAAACATTCTACTATTTATTCATGCGACAGACTCTTGAAAATATTAATCGATATATAAAATTGCCGGCAGCGTTGTCAGAACTTTTGCTTAGACCTAAGTAAATAGGTAAAAATCAGACTCAAATAAAGAACAACTCTTTCTTATACTTCAATCATTATGTTTTATTCTATCCATAGATGAGTGATTTCTGGCGCCCTCTTTTGATAATTATTCTAATTCGTAATTTTTCGTTTTTTTTTGTTTATTATTTTTCTTGAGATCTCATTTGTAACTCCACAACATTTCAAAAAAATCCTTCAAAATAATTAATTACATCTCATTCTTATTTTCCAATTAACATGTCAAATACTAATTTATTCATTATATTTTTTTGTTTAGATAAGACAAAAAAGAAACGATGAAACGCGGTTATATTGTGACAATTATTTGGGAAGTTATATCGGTAGCAGCATTTGTCTTAAATCTAATTGCTAATAGTAGTGATCGTTGGTGGGTAAAAGCAAGAGAGGGTGGCGAACATACATTTGTACGAGCTGGTTTATGGCAAGTTTGTTTTAATATGTATCGTCATCGTTTCGATTATTATGGAAAAATTTATCATGGTTGTTGGTGGTAAATATATTCAAATAGAATCTTTAATTTAAAAAGAAATCAAAAATATTTCTATTTAGGCTTTTTTCACCTGAAATTCGTCTTTTACGTTCATGGATATCAACGAATTGGCTTCGTTGGGTTCAAGCTTTATCAACACTTTCATTAATAACATCATTATTTGCTGTTATTGCTGCTTTACTTGTTTTACGTAATAGTGATGGATTTAAATCATCAAAACAAGTTCTCACAGCAGCAATATTGCATGGAATTGCTGGTACATTAATGTTAGCAACAGTTATTTTATTTGGAATTGCCGGTCGACGACGTGATTGGATGATGAATTGGCAATTTAATTGGTTTGGTTGGAGTTTTCATTTAGCTATTATTAGTTGTATACTTCATTTAGCAACAGCATTCATGGCTGGTTATCAAGGATCAAATAAGTAAGAAGGAAATTTAAAAAAATTAGACAAAAAAAAATGTCTCTGTTTTTTTGTTAAATAGATATTTACATGATATGTATGATTATGAACGAGCTCATGAAGAATTAGAAAATCGTTCAACATTAAAATTACCTATGTATCAAAATCGTCCATCATCTGAACGTGCTTTATCATCAAATGGAGGAAGTAATACACATCTTCATCAATATGCATAAAATTACAACAAAAAACAAAAAGAGAATCTCCTGTATTTTTCTTGTACAGATCTGTTTTAATACATTCCAATTTTTTTTTTTGTTTTGTGATGCATAACATTTCCTCTTCTATATACACACTATATTTACTCACTGTATTTACTATATGAGCTCTTAAATTTTATATTGTCTAATTGAAATATTTGTTTTTTTAATCATTTTTTTTCGTTTCCTATAGTTTACATGTTTAGTCGAATAAAAAAATGTAATAGATGACGCTTCTATATATATATATATGTGCAAAAGAATATTACTAAAAACAAGGTAACTAGAGCTACGCTAGATTGATTCATGCTCTATCATGCATAAAATTGACATAAAAATACAGTCAGAAAGTTGATTTAGAGAAAAGCGGATAATATCAATGGTATGAATCAATTACAATGAAAGTTGATATATATTACTCAAGTATTATCAATTAAATTAAACAGGTTAGTAAAAGAGAATAAACTAAAGTAGATGTTTCTTTCTAGTATGATGAAAAAAAAAA